AAGGCCCTCGGCGAGCGAGAGGTTCTTCGGAGGTTTCCCTCCCTCGTCGCCGCCAGCATTGAGCGAGCCCTTCGCCTCGTCGGCAGGACTCTCAGAGCGCTCAGGCGTCTTTAAACTGTGATCAACGTGATCACTAGCGAGCGAGTGCAGGCTGTCAACGCTGCGCTCGCTGAGCACTGGAGTGTGCCCTCCCACGGAGCTCCAGACACACTGCGAAAGCTCCGGGCCTTGGCCTCATCCTTACAGCCAGGACTGTGCTCACGACACGCGAACCGTGGGTTCGGATGGTCGACTGGGGACATTGAGGGCGACCGACTGCGGCGTGAGCTTCGCCGCTTGCTCGCAGCCGCGTCATCCGAGGCATCAACCACCTCGGAGACTACCTTAGTAGACTCCTTGAGTGCCGAGCCTTTGCTGTGACGCTTAGAGCTCTTGGCGTGCGCCTTTCGGGAAGCAGCCTTGGCGGGTGCTTTCGCACCGCCCTTCGCAGTACCGCGAGGCATGATGTGGTCGAAGTGGAGACCGAGAAGACGAGCGTTTTTGCTCAAGGCTCCAACTGTGGAATGAGTCACAACCGCGTCCCCGCAGCTAGTCGAACCCTTTCGACACGGAGAATGAGAGTTTGTAACTCTGTCTCCCTCCTGTGATTGGTCGGTAAACCGAACCTAAGTGGGGGAGGATGTAACGGGGTACGTACCCCAGTGTACCCAAGTTACATGAAGAGTGACTTGTCACTCTTGTAATACCTGGTACATGGTACCAGGGACTCTAGGAGCCAATCATTGCATCTCTACATAGTCTTACTTTAGGTGACTTATAGTTTGTAATAGAAACCAAGCTAAGATTACTTATAAATACATTTAGTCTTAAACGTACCCTTAACTGAGTACTTCGTCCCCTCAGACCAGGGACACGTGAACGGTCGTTCACTTAGAGTTTGTAAACTCTTGGAAGCCTACTTCCTCAGCGCAAGGTGCTGTGTGACCCCGTCACAGTATCCCATAGTACCAAAACATGTTGTTGTCCATTGGTGCGCTAGTATCTTGGTGGGGCCTGCAGAATAAGGGTTCTCCTAACAGATAATGTTGTACTAAGTACATTCAACTACGCACGTAACTGAATCTCTAATATCTATTTCTATTATTTATCGTTACGTAAAAAAGAAATGTATTATACCCAGCAGGATGTGCACAACCTGGTGCAAGCCCAAGAGCGTCGTCAACAGGACGATGATGGGGAGCAGGAGCAAGCCCAGGAAGAACAACAGAGACATAATTCGTCACTTGCAGCTCATGACGATGAGAACTCGTCTTGGTTGTAATGCGAACTGTACTACTACTATTTCTCATTTTTGTTTGGTATGAATTGCAATTAGCGAGCGCAGAAAGCAGCGCAGCCCTCACGTAACGTCGTACCTCTGGTCTCGTCTATTCCACTTTGTTTGCGGAGTAAAGCTGCTTCATGCTGGAAAGTACATTATCTATTCAGGGTGATAGAGAGATTTTTAGTTCATGTACTTATGTTA